TTGGGTAGAGTAAAGGATATGAAGGTCCACTGCCATCCTTAATTGTAGTGATCTTTTTTTCCAACCTCCCAGTCCGATATCACAGAAAAGACAACATAGCATCTCTTCACGATACATGTATTGTTTGTTTAATGTGACGGAAATAATCATTCAATGTGAATGATTATACAATCTCACCTTCTAGTTGAGCTTGTTGGGATTGTTCGGTTGATATTTTTTTTTCTTTTTTTCAATTTTATCCTTTAAAATGTACCAATTGAAAAGAAGAAGTACAAGTGATATTTTTCATTAAAAATATTTTTTTTTAATTATTGAAAATACAATTGCATATATCAATGTTGTTGTAATCCACAATACATAAAATTCATCCATATATATCAACAATTTAATTTATAGCTGAAAAGTAAAACTGCAACCCCCATTTAAATTTTCCTGCGCATAGAATGATTTTAGGAGTCTAACGTGGCATGGTGGTTATGCGGGATTAAATTAGAAATCCCCGCCTGACAAAAGAGATAAGAAACCGTCGGTTCCCACTACTTTTTTTGCGGCTGAAATCATCTTCCATTTTCTCCTGGGTTATCTACGTTTTGCTTTCTCCTTCCCGCAGCACGACAGGAGATCCATTTCTCAGCGGACAATTTTGGGAACAGGGACTGACGCTTGCTGCTCAGCGGAGGAAGGCATTGACGGCCCGCTGATGTGGAGTTCACCGTGCCGAGATTTTGCAGTTTGGAACGAGCGGCGAACACCTAATTGAGCGAGGAAGACCTGCGGCTAATTGACGGTGAATTCCCCAGCCAACCGGCGAATCGAAGGTGAGTCATGATTCGTGGTATTTGTTTACCCCCGCTGATTCGAACAATCGGATTTGGTAGTTATGCGGTGAACGATTCTCCAGCCAACCGCCGATTTGAAGGGGAGGCGAGATTGTTTCGGTTAGTTTGCTCCCGCTGCTTCTCTCAATCCGGATTAGGTAGTTCTGCGTTGAACCCTTGCCAGCTAACCGACGATTTGAAGGGGAGTCAGTAATTTTTTCTGTTTGTTTGCCCCCGTTGCTTAGCGCTGTCAGATTTGTTAGTCTGATATATATGCGTTTGAGGGAAGCCCGCAATCCCTCTATTCGCAATTGGATTTGGTAGTCTGATCTGCATATTACCTATTACTGTTTCCATCATTTACTTCGCTTATCTTTAGTTTTATCTGATTGAGTTTCCATGTGTACCCAGCTAAATTGATAGGACAACCCTTCCTGTACCTCCTGTGTCCTTATCACAGCTTAGAAGGAGACCACATCTTCGGCGAATTCGGCGACTACAAGCCCCTCGAAGCCAAGGAAACCAGGGGAGCCGAGTTCGAAAGAAGGCATAAATAATTGAGCTCTGGTTTAGATCCCAGCGGCAACTGGTAGGTTTCTCACTCTCTTTCATTGATATCCCATTTCAGTCTCCTTTCTGTTCCGGATTTTTAGTTCTAAATTTGGGTTTAGCCCACCGTACTTGATAGATTTGGTTCATCATCTTCTCCAATTATTTTCTGATCGAAGAGAAGACGAAGAAACTAAATTATGCTTACTGAGAGTGAACCATACAAGAAGAAAACGATCATTGTATTCGCATAAGGAGAAAAGGCGAGGGATGGGTTAGCGGCGGCGGTGGGTTTCTGACTCTCTTTCGTTAATATTGGCTTTCTGACTTCTTATTTAGTGTGTTGATTTTTGGGTCTACGTTATGATTTTCCCTTACACTATATGGATTTGGTTCATCATTTTTGCCCATTCTTTCAAATTGAAGGAACGACGACGGGAACTCGATGATTTTCCCTTCACTGTTTTTTTTTTTGTAAGTTAGAATCTTATCAGCATCGAATAGTTAATTCTTAGATATTTTGTTTTTATGGTAGTGTGTTCTAATCCATTCCATTAGGATGAGACTGTTTTGATTAGAGTACTGTTTTGATTAGAGTTGGCCTTAAGGAATCAGTAGCGAGCTTCCAATTGGGGTTAATGATTTTGAGATACTGAGCATTATTGATTGAGTCAATGTTCATAGATGCATTAACCAAAGGTTTTTGTGTGATTCTAGCCTATGTTCTTTTCAGCTGCTGCTTCTTCTGTAAGTTCTTACACAACACATTTAGTATTTCTACAATGTTGATCCCAAAAAAGTTAAGAAAAAGAACACTGAAATGCTTGATAATTTGTCTTTGATAGCAGACTATAGTTTCCAAATCATCTTTTTCTATCAACTAATTGTATAATCCCACCTTTTGCCTCTATTGCAAATATCAACAAGGGAAACCAGAGCTACAGTATTTCCATTACATCACCCTTTGAGGCTGGGCAAGTGTTTCAACTCCTGGATTGGGGTAATTAATTGGTTCAAGGTTGTTGCTGGTTGTTTTGTTAGTTCGTTCTTAAATTCATTATCAAGTTCCTTTTTGGGGGCATTCACTTGCAAATTTCATTTAGCCTTTGAGTCAAATGATATTTAAACTCTTTTAACACAAAATTATGTTCTGGTATGTCTCAAGTTACATGTTGTTTGGAGGCAAAAATTCCTACATATCTTTATTGTCATGGGTCTGAAGTTTTAGTATAGGTGTGGAAGTTGTAGGAACATAGATCTATGTTGTGATGGTCCTCAAAGGGAGGGGAAGGAGTTGTTGCATCTGATATCTAAAAAATAGTACAACCACTGCTTTCGCTATCACTTTTTGTTTAAGGTTGAATACCATCAAATTGCGGACACTACGAAGTAAATTTCATTTATCTACGGTAGACATCTAATATGTGGGTAGCGAATGTCTCCTGGTATTAAGAAATATATGACCGTCATTTGTTGCTTCTTTAGTCACGTAAGTTAAGGGGTTGCATCGTGGGGTTATCAAGCCACATGCATAGTTTTGATAGCAAGTACTTATTGTGTGATATTATTTATCCTTGCTTAAACTGATTCTATATTAAACGGAGTTCCCAATAAGTAAAGGTGCTAAGGCTATAAATGTAGTGCATTAGCTAAAGTGCTCTTTGAATTGAATCAGTATTTGAGAATTAAAAAGTACCCAAATAATGAAAATATGAAATCATCTAGATAATGACATAAATGAAGGGAAGGAAATAATAACTATAAAATGAACCAATCAGAGGATAATCGCTTTGCATATATGTATGTGTTAAAATATTTTGCAATTCGTCTTCGGTGGGTGGGGTTCTTGGTTAAGTTGTCGTTTTGAGATCATGAATTATTGTGTGTGCTCTTGATTAGTTCCCCGTCATATTTTGCTAATGCATTCTTTGGTAACGCTGATATATTTTTTAAAATTAGAAGCAAAAACAATTAGTGAAAGTTTAAACATTCTTAATGCTAGCATATACTAATTACTTGAAGCCCCCTTTCTTTTCTTCATGTAGTTGTTGTTGATGGTGAAAGCCGTTGTTTTAGTAGATGACTCAGGCTAGGATTTCATTACAAGATGGATGGGGACAAGACAATTTGTTTTCAATGCAACATCAGATAATAGTACGAAAATAGCTTACCATGCATCCTTATTCTCACACGACATTGTTTATGTTGGTGATAACATATTCTTAAAACAACAACTACTTCGATGACTATGTTATGTGCTAATATGGATGATTGCTAAGTGGATTATTAATGTTTACTTCCTGATCCGTTGGACATTTAATAACTCATTTTTGTGCATATACCTGATAACTATGCCACATGCTAGCTCATTTGGTTATGAGTTGTTAATTGCAAGGACCAACATAGGCGAAAAGAAAATTGTGACCAGATCACATACATATTTCTCATATTGGGAATCGCGTTTTAATCAATAAACCATGAGATTGCCAGAGAATCTTGAAGATGACATGTTTTTAATCAACTACTAAGAATGTATTGTATGTTGGCTAATATTGCACCATGATAATTCCTCCCAGGTTTGTTGTTTGGATGGTTTTACTGTTTTCTTTACTTTTATGTCTTTCCCATCGGTCTCTTTGAATGCTCGATTTACAAATATAATTTATGGATATCACTTATTCCAAATTAATGAGGACCAACAAATTTCAAATTCAATAGCAAAACTTTTCATCCTTGACCTTTGATTTGAATAGAGTTTTAGCACCTACTTCCAAATTTAGGAGTTAGACAAATCTCGCATGTGTTGAATTTAGATACCAAATACATAACTGAAATATATGATCCAAACGATGTTCACATTTGTTATTGAATATCAAACTGGTTTTCTTTCTTTATGAAGTCATGAATCTTATTTCATAAAATCTCATTTTCACAACAGACGATTGTATATTTGAATCAACAAGTGTTTTATTTAATAAAATTTCAAATAAATACTTCAAATATTTGAGATTTTGGTCAATGTAATAGCTTGGACTATCCTTTTACGTCATTGTCAACTCTTAAAACCACAAATATTTTTCGTGAATCATATAAAATTAAAGATCCCAAATCAAGTAAATCATAAATATTGATAAAATAAATTATACAAAATAGAATGAAATTGATCCGACCAACGGGTCGGGTAAAAGCTAGTATATATAATATAATACATGTATACGTTCACCACAATACATCAATATACCAATCCGAGAAATCAAACCCTCTTTTTGTTAGAATTGATTAACCCTTAGAAAACAAAGTAAAATGTACAACCTTTTGAATGCTCTTTCTTAACAACGTTCTTCCGATACGGATATAGTCTCCTTCGGAGAACAAGGCAGCCATTCGACTTCTCTAAGAGAGCGACTTCCATCCATTCATGGCACAGTCTGACAGTCCACACGCGTTAGCAAGACTCAAGTAGTAGCCGTCGATTCACTCCACGTGTAGCAATCAACGGCCAGCATGCATTTGATGATGCGATCCATGGAGCCGGCAGAAAAGTCTCAATGAAAGAAATTGAACAATCAATTATATTTTGACCCATCCTGTGATCAAAATCAGCTTTCTTTCCTTAGCCACAAAGGATTCATCTGCTCTGTGTATAAATATGCATCGAAATTGCCATTATTTTCAGCCATCAACTTTGTCTATCTTTGTGAAAGCAGAAAAGAAAAACAATGGTGAGATTCTCGTTCATGTCTTGAGCACCAGTTTATTCTGTTTTCACTTTCTACTCAATTTACTAACATGATTCTCTCTCCCTTTTTTTTTCTCCTTTTGGTTTCAATCTCAGACGTTCCAAATTGAGGTACCAAATATTCCATGTCTCTCTGTCTCCTTTTTTTTCCCCTTCAAAATCGTACTCTTGCTAGAGAAAATGCTAATTATACTAATCTGAATTGTATGTGTATGGTGCAGAAAACATTTTCCCAAGCCTCGGAGAGGGTGAAGTCGGTAGAATTCCATCCAACTCAGCCATGGTAAATCAAATTATCCACCTAATTAATCCCACTAATTAATTTCTCTTAATTAACCAACTTGATTCTTATTTCTTAACCCACACAATTCCTTTTCCAGGGTTCTGCTGAGTATGCATTCAGGAGAGGTCCGCATTCTCAACTTTCAGACTCAAGTACGTACAGACGCCTCTTTCTTTCCATTCATTTGATCATCGGTAGCTATACAGTTCGATCCGGTTAAATTGGACCAAATTGATCCGGTCCAGTTCGGTCTTTTTGAAATTATAATGACCAAAGATTGGATTGGATACAGTCCGGTTTTGATCCGGCCCGGTCCCAATTCGGTCTTGATTTTTTATCGAGATTGTGGAGACTTGAGTGGCCTAAGGCCTGAAAGGGTGAGGAGTTGGTTAAGTTTTGTACTATGTGCAAAGGTTTGTGACCGTTTATGCAAATTACCCTTAAGTTTTGGGTGTTGAGCTCTCTTATCCGGTCTTTATCCAGTTTTCGATCCGGTTCCGAACGATTTTTTAACTCAAATCTAAGCCCAACTATTAAATTGAATTGTTTACTATCCGGTCCCAGCCCAAATTATACGATCCAGTTTCGGGTAAAACCAAAAAACCCGGACCAAATAGCCAGCCCTAATACCTGTTGTATAAATTAATAAATATGATTAAGAAACTAGCTAATCCTTAATGATCCCGTGTGGTTTAATTTCGCTATCCAGGAAGTGGTGGAGTCATTCAAGACCACGGATTCGCCGGTGAGAACAGCAAAGTTCGTCCCACGAAAGCAATGGATCGTCACCGGAACCGACGACGGCAAGATCAGAGTCTACGATCAAGACAGCAGGGAGCTGGTGAAGGAGGTTCAAGCACACGAGGATTTCATCAGGAGTCTCTGCCCCCACCCAACGCTTCCGATCCTGCTGTCGGCCGGCGACGACAAGGTTGTGAAGATCTGGGATTGGGACAAAGACTGGGAGTGCGCTCGAGTCTTCCGAGGCCACTCCCATTACGTTATGCAGGCTGCTCTCAACCCACTGGATCACCAATCCTTCGCAACTGCATCCCTCGACAACGCTGTCAAGGTATAGATTTGTCGGCCGCAGTATAAACATAATACTACTCGTACTACTCATACTCTGCAAACAGGAGGGTTGACTATTTTGCGATTATTGCAGATATGGGACATTGGCTCCCCTGTTTCCGTTGGGTCACTGGACGGACATGCAAAAGGAGTCAACTGTGTGACTTACTTGGCATCATCATCAGCTGGAGAGAAGAAGCTGTACCTTTTGAGCGGTTCGGACGATTTCACGGTGAAGGTTTGGGACTGCGACACCAACTGCTGTGTCCGTACTCTGGAAGGCCATACCAACAATGTCTCTGCGGTGGCTGTACATCCAGAGCTGCCGATCTTCGTTTCGGTCTCCGAAGATGGGACTGTTATCATCTGGGATGCTACCACTTTCAAGTAAGTAGATTGGAACTACTCTTTTGCCGCGGCATGTACTTTGTAACGCGGATGGCAATTTTTGAGAAAGAACTTATGGTTTGGAGGAACCTAATTTTGTTATGTGCAGGCCTATTGAGACAGTGAATTACGGGCTGGATAGGGTGTGGGCTATTGGGTGCAGAGGAGGCTCGAACCAGTAAGTGCTGATCCCTTACTACTGCTAACTTTTTAAATCGATTTTTGAATTGAAATACACATATCCAAACGCGCTCTCTTGTTACGGAAACCGGATTATGATACGGTATATGTTAATGGAAATGTTTGGTGTAGGATGGCTTTTGGTTGCGACAAAGGGACGGCTATGGTGAATGTTATCAGCAGCTCTTAGATCCCGGAAATCAAACATCTCGTAATATGGCGTACGTCTATTAGTTGTGAGGAGTACTAATAAATAAAACTCTATGTACTTTGTTTGTAGTAGGGAAAATAAACATATGTGGCTATATTGTGGTGTGAGGGTTACGTGACTTCTATGTTGAAAAATATTGTTTGGGTGTATGTATTGTAACGACTATGTACAATATAAATCTATTAACAAATATTTTGATTAGTGACTTGACTATTGTTACTATTGAAATTTCTTGAATATATAGAAAATATATATTTGATTTCCTATATAAATATAGAAAATATAATAATATATAATATAAGGGCATGGTGATAACAACAAGAGCAAACAGTTATACCGACACACACGGAATCCAGAACAAACAGTATCTACGTGGTTTCATCGACATTTAGATTGTCGAGACTAGTCCTCAACCAACAGCGGTATCTCTCTTATTCGATGATCCAAACTCAGCATATGTTACACATATATATAAGAGAGACTAACTCCTCTTCCAACCTTAGAGCTATCGTTGTGAGCTAGTTGTAAGATAGTCTCCCCAAACCCACCAAATTCCTCGTCCTTATACTTAAATCATTATCAACTAAGCTAGTCACTTATCCTAGATACTTAGGTGATTTACGTACCAAGTCCTACAAGCCCATGCAACCATACAAACGGGCTAACCTGAGATTACATAACCAAAGCCCCATACAAACGACGTTAACGAAGAAACATCTAACCCAATATCATTCTCCCCTAAATTGATGACCGGTAGGGAGCATCAATTTGCCTGGGAGATAGATATGTCGACTAACAGTGAAAGACTTGGTGAAAATGTCAGGCAGCTGGTCTTCAGAGGTGACGTAGAATAAACGAACATCGTCGGCACCACTACAAGAAAAATCGGTTTCAGCAACTATATTCTTAGCAACCATATAAGAAAATGGTTGCTGATAACTGGACTTTCGGCCACCATTTACAAAATGGTTGGTGATGCCCAACCTTTGAGCAACCATCATAAAATAGTTGCAATAGACTAGGACTTATGCAACCATTTGCAAAATGGTTGCTAATACCTAGCTCTTCAACAACCATTTGTTAAATGGTTGCCAGAAAATCAAAACATCACCAACCATTATCAAAATGGTTGCTGATACTTGATGTTTGAGCAACCATTACTTAAATAGTTGTCTATTGAGGAAAGTTTGAGCAACGATTTGTAAAATGGTTGTCGAAAAGTCAATACTTAATCAACTGTTATATAAATAGTTGCTCAAACTTGTTGTTTGAGCAACTATTATTTAAATGGTTGCTGATTGAGCAAAGTTTGAGCAACTATTTGAAGAATGGTTGTCAAATGTCAATGCTTCGCCAACCATTATAAAAATAGTTGTTAATAATTGATTTTTGCGCAACGATTACTGAAATGGTTGCCGATTAAGCAAAGTTTGAGCAACGATTTGAAAGATGGTTGACGAAAAGTAAATACTTCATCAACCATTGTCAACATAGTTGGTGATACTTAATGATACGTCATCAAGAACATTTTCTTTTTGTTGAAAAAAGAGAGAATATTTTAGTAAATATATTAGAATATTTTTAGTAATTATCATTATAATAAAGCATTATGTATTCATTCTATAATATTTTTAAGGACGGTTTTAAAACTAAAAATCTCATGTTTTTACACTTGTAGGTAATTAAAATGCTTCTACATAAAATCACTATTTTCACTATATGACAATGACCGTTCAACAAATTCGTATACGACTTTAAATTTAATTAGTTTGCTAAAAGACCTTTTTGTAAATGAATGAAAAATTCTTTTATGCCCCTATCACTATTGGATCAACGTTGAAGTCTATTAGTATCAAATACTAAATTGGTTCATTAATAATTTATTTTTCTTCATCAAACTAATCACTGCTTAACTGTTTTAGGTGACTAAATCTGATAATACTGAACCCATGCCGAATCATCCAAGTCCAACCCTAATCCATACAAACTTTATCAAAAGCATTCATCTCAATGAATCTCCACCGTTTATTCAACCAAGTACGCAAAATCTTATCTCTTTGGCTTTCTATGGATGTCGAACCCCATTCCCTCATCCAACGCCTCCACTGAGTAGTCTCCTCCCCACCTTCCTCTTCTGCCTTCCGCCGCCGCCGCTTTCTCAAATTGAAGGGTGGCATGCGCCTCCTCCTCCCTCCTCGATTCTCTCTGGTTCCCACCGCCTCGCCGTCGAAGGCACAAATCTCAAACCCATTCCCAAATCTCAACCCCAAATATGAACAAACGAAAACCATAAACCCATTCCCAAATCCCCATCCCAAATCAGGTTACCTGGCGTTCCCTTCCCGCCGCCTGGCTTCCCTTAGCCGGAGACAGAGAGATGGCGGGAGGACAGGGAGACAGAGATGGGAAGAGCACAACGGCGTGAGGAAGAATAGTTTCCGACCTCAAGCGACTTCCGCCGCGCTCCCTTGTTTCTCGGCGAGACTTAACGGCGATGACGGAGACCGCATCCAGGCTCTGGTCTCCCAGCTTCCAACCACCTTCAACAGGGGAGTCACTCGATACTACGGATCTGAACAGAGGAAAGAACTCAAGGGGACCGCCCTCTGCTTTCTCCAGGCAGCAGCAAAGACCTGGGTGTCGAGATCTTGGCGGAGGAAGGTTGCAGGTGAAGGAGCTGCGTCTAAGAATTGAATTGGGGGGTTTTTGCTACTGGTATTTCTTACTCAATTTTTTGTCAGTGTTGAAATTTTAGAGTTAGGGTTTTTAGTGAATCAATTCCATCGACTTGAGGGAGCTTCTATTTACTTAGAAATGACCGAGATTTTGCTTTTAGTTTTAAGTGCTTGTTTATGGTATGCTAGTGGAATTCAACTCGTCAATTGCCTATTAGGTTGGAAAGATATCCCTCGTTACAGTAGTTGAGATTGGACTTTCACCTTCAATGAAGTGAGTTGAATTGCATAACCTGCTTACTTTTCATTCTAATATGATATTGTGTTTACATGTGCACTTCTGTAGGCGAAGAAGATGACTTCCATAGGAGCTAGGAAATAGGAAATGCTCCATGAACTACTATGGATGGAAGTTCATAAATCCTTGGCTTGCTTCTGCTCGATTTCGGAATCAATTGATGATGCGGCACTTGCCTTCCATGTTTAATATGCTTACAATAGGTACTTTTTTCCTTCCCTTCTCTCACCCTCCATCTGCCCTCTTTTGTTTTCTTATTATTGATCTTGGTAGAGCTTGTTTAATTAGCAGTTGTTGATAACTCAATATTACTTATACTTCTCTTTTTGTTGAAATTACAGGTAGATGCATCATTTATTCAAATGATGTGAAGAATGCTTGGAGATACTAAGTATAGGCTTGCTAACCATTGAGATCGTCTAAATATTCAGGATGATAATTGTATTATGGATATGTGTAGGAGTAGAACACAATATTATGTTTTTGCCACTTTTCGTAATAAGATATCATTTTTGGATTAAGATTTAGATCAATTGAATATTATTTATGTTTTCTATTGTATGCTTTGATTTGTTAAGTTTTATTTATAGTTAGCGTTTAACTACCATATAAATTAAAGGTTGGTTTATAACTGTTCACATCTCTCATTCACCTACCATAGGCTAAATAGTCTCTTAAACACACCTTTTGGAAACCATATAATAATAGTTGCCTAACTACCCAACCTCCACAGATTGTTTGGCGACCATAAAAAAGGTCGCCCAAACCTCTCATTTGACAACCATAAATGAGATTGTCGCTTGAAACGTCACCCTGTAGCGACCATAGTTATAGTTGTTCAAACTCTAGATTTACGCCAACCATTTTATATTGTCGCTGAAAACATGTAAAAGCCAACCATAAATAGATCGTCGCCAAACTGGTGTTTTGCCAACTATACCCTATGGTTGCTTAAAGTATACATTCAGCGACCACATATTAAAAGGGTCGCCTTGGACCTATGCCAACGCAGTATTGCCGACCATCTTGGCGACCGTCTTTTATGGTCGCAGAACTGTTTCGGCAACCATTTTTTTAGTTTCAGCGACCATTATTGATGGTTGCGGAAAGCATAATTTCTTGTAGTGACTAACCAAGCCAACTATTCCAGTAACTATTGCTCTCACTATTCATTATCATACTATCACTTAATCTTACATGCTAAGATCAAGATCAACTGTTCTCCCTACAGACAAATTCCAATTATCACTTAGTAACATATGGTCCCCATCTAGCCACGATAGAAAATTAATTAATTAATTAATATATAAAAGTTATGGTTTGAGTTACTATTCATTAGTGTCTCTCAAACTACTCCAAGTGCAAGTGGGCAACTTTTATTTTTTTTGGTTTTCTTCACTCACATGTACTTCTCCTAAATCTCTAAATTTTGGAAAACCTCTTATTACCCCCACCTTCCCATTTCATACCATTTGTTTGAACTTTTTTCCATTAGATTTTCCAAATCTAATATCCATTTTCTCAAATCTTTCCCAAGTGTCTTCTTTTACCCAACTCTCTCATTTTACATCCTCTATGTTTAACTATTGTCTGATCAGTCTAAATCGATTGTCCATCGTCTTTAGCCCACAAAATGATCACTTTCGCCCACCAATTTGCAGCCATCTCGAAACACTGTTGGCAAAAAACTATGTTGTCATCTTCCACCGTTTGCCAGCCACTACCGAAGATCCATACCATATATCGTCTGTACAATCCTCACATTCGCCCACCTATTTACAAACTCAGTTTTGAAATATTGCCGGTGGAATCCAAGTTGTGTCCCTCCAACGTTTATCAAAGACGCTATCTAAAATATATACCATATTTATTCTATGTTGATGAGTTTTGTATCGGGTCCGGGTTTCAATTGCTTTGGTAACCCAAACCAATGAGTGTCCAATCTATTTCGTCTAGTCAAAGCAACTTTAACCCAGCTGTAGTATTTTTAAATTTCTCTTTTTCCTTTTTGTTGAGAATGACAATTGAACTCAAACCCATGGTATTGACGAGTTTTGTATTGGGGAGAGTTTTATCCGCTATTATAGTTAACAGGTCGGGTAGAGTGTGCATTTGTTAAAAACTCAAATCGACCCGGTCAAAGCGAGTTGAACACGGTGTTCACGAGTTTTGGATCGAGAACGTGGCTTGCCCCCCTTAATATTTTATCACTGCTCTTTTTTCGTTTTTGTTGAGAATGATAATTGAACCCAGACCTGGTGCTGACGAGTTTTGTATTGAGGGTGAGTTTTATCCACTTTTATAACTGACATGTTTGGTCGAGTGTGAATTCTGTAA